ACACACACACACACACACACACACACACACACACACACACACACACACACACACACACACACACACACACACACACACACACACACACACACGTGCAGAAACAAACGCAAATGTGCAGTGAGAGACGGAATATGAAAAGAGAAATACCTCGAAGGATGAGAAGAGGGATTGTGATATTGGTATTTGTCTTTCGAACATATGCACATTTCATAGAAAAAAGTAAGCAGCATGAAGCTAAGTAGAAAGTGGCGAAGTATGGATGGAATGGATGAAAATTGTTTTCATCTTTTTTAATTTGAATCGAGCAGTTCAACATGTTGAGAAGAGAAGATGATGTAATGCAAATGATAAAAGTCTCTGAGATGTGATATGTTAGCATACTACTTAGCAGTCACTATGAAAACTAGAAACATTCTTTTATCAACTTTAAAGAAACCAATCAAAATGAACTTATAAACTTTTGAGCTTTATTTATTAAGTTATTTAGTTACAAACGGTAAGCGACTGACGCGGACTTTAAAGCGGTTCTAGTCTTAATTAGAACTAATTAGAGTAGATAGAACTATAGTAGTAAAGTAGTAGGAACTAAAGGAGATCGCTCTACTAATAACTTTGATCGTTTTTATCAAAATATTTACAATCACTTAATATAACTGAAATGCGTTTCCTTAGCTTTGATAAAAATTCTTTTAAAATTTAAAAAATAAGAAAAAAAAATAGAATTTTTATTTTTTTTAAAAAATAAAAATTCTTTTAAAATTCATTCATAGATTTTTAGAATAGTTCTAAAAAATGTTAACTTTGAAAAAAAAAGAACATAAAGATTTGGCGAATGAGTGGACCACGAAACTATGGCTGCATTTTTTAAAATTTCATATTAAAAAGAGGAAAGTCGACTCTTATCTATTGTTTCATGATGCTGATTCATTAACGCGAAATGGTGGGAATTTTAAGCTACTCTCACATTTTTTGGATAATACTAATATTTTCATATCAAATTGCGATTCTCTCGTACATGCACAACTTCTGGAGAAAATACTTTGAAAACCTGGATCATTTAAATGATTAAAGTTTAATTAGCCAAAAGGACAGGCCATTGTAACTTTATCATCATGAGAAAAGTAAATTAAAGTTATTCATTTATGCGACAGTTTTTCTCGCTGGATTACTTAATGTTGCGCCTACGAAATAATTGATTTTATTCCCAAAATACTCTAATTCTTCCCGATTTCACAAATTTTCTCCATTGGCTTTTTGTCGAAAATATATAAAATAACACAAAAAAAAATCGTTTTCCCATTTTGGAGTCTTCTCGGCAAGTATTAGCCTACTATTCCAGTATAACTGAAACTTATTTAAAGCAGGAATAATGGAAAATTCGCAACAGCAGATGGGACAAAGTTGTAAAGGACTGTTTAATATAATGAATCATCTGCAATAATCATGCAAAAAAAAATATATCAGTAGCGAACAGATCAATGTCTCTAAAATATACCACAATTGAAAGTATGTCTACAAAATGGCACTTAAAACAGTACTACTGTCGTTTTCCACTTATTCATGAAAGAGTCTTTAATGTGAAGTGGTTCACAAAAAGAGCTCATATGGAATGAGAGTATAAAAGGCAGAAGGACGTCGAGCCAAAAAAATGAGATCCTACGAAATTTTTGGACAACAATTTCAATCTTATTTATATAACAAAAAAAATATGATCTTTTTCAAAGAGCATTTCTTTCATTCAACAACTTCTTCACAAGTCTCCAATTTATTATACCTATGCTAACTTTTCCTGTCTTAACGTAGTACAATGGTTATAAGCTTTTAAGCAAAGGAAAGACCGAGGAAAGTGTTTTTTTTTTTTAAATTGCCTTTTGATTTGTGTTGGCTGAAATATATAAATACAATGTATCAGATTAATAGCTGTTTAAAATGATGCTTCTTCAAATTTGCTTAGATACCAAAAAATTCACCGACATCTTTTTCAGATCAAAGCTTTAAATTTATGTAATAAGTTTCCGGCTGTATATATGATACACTATGATATTAAATTATTTTATATGAGGATGTAAACTTTTTGCATATAAGTGAGTAAATGACAATAAACAGTTTTTTGAATTAATGATATCATTTTGAGCACGGGAACATATTAAATTAATGATAATTACTGAGAGCTCAACAAAATCTTTGAGCAAGATAATTTTTTAAATAAAATAACCATGCGACTATTTTATAGTTAGAAACTTGAAAAGCTGCTGGTATCGGAAATCAAAAAAACCACCAGAGTGTTTGATTTTTAAATAAAATTTGCTTGAAAAAAAAAATTTGGAGATATTTTTGGAAAATTTGGAAAGATTGATGAAAAATTTTTTTTAGAAACATTGATACGTACGAGTCTAACACGAATTTTAGTTGCTTTTTTTTCGATACGCACTGTTATTCTATGGCTTTAATAGTTCAAAGGTTAGGAGACTTTTCTCATGAATAATTTTGAAAGTCGTCTTTTTCGTTCTTTTGAGGCAGAATAACAATAGATACGCAAGGTAATTAGATTCTTCAGTTTCTAGAAATTTAACAAACTTCAAGACAACTATTTAAACTTCTTGCAGGAAAATGGTTATGCTACCAGTGTTTTTATGTACAACTTGAGCTTAAATTTCAAAAAAAACACACACTAAAAGTGTACAATTCGAAACTATGAAATAAGATCGATTTTATTTCGTGTTTATTTGAAGTATTTTATAAAAGCGTTTTATATCAGTGATAACAACTAATCACACATCGACTAACATTAACTTAATCAAATTCTTCCGTGACCATAAAAAGAGTTTAGCATCGTATCAAATATAATTAATTTATTGAAAAGGTACTTTCTATTATCTTCTCTCTTAATCCACATGTACTCTTTTCTCTTCCCTCTTTCATCCCCACATTTTCCACCACATTATTCATTAATTTAAGTGATTGCCTTATAAGCAACATTAATAGATTCTTCCCTCTCAAGAGAATGCATTACATTATTTTCAGATAAATAGGTTTTCTAAGATAAGTTGCCTTTTTTTAAAAAATTCTTTCTCCTTAGATCCTCCTTAGATCTGAAAAGCTACCAAACATAAAATATATTTTTAATCAAATAGAAAAATTAAACTCGAAAGAAAAGCATAAAGTACTGTTGCGGGTACTATATGATGAAAATAAATTAGTTCCAGATTGTGGAAGACGAATCATTTCTCGATTTTATGAAATTAATAAGAAGAGCAATTAGAATCAAGATTTTAGTTTATCAGCACTTTTCAACTGCACCGTTTCAATTTTCCCAATAAGAATAGCCTGTAATTTCAATAACAATTAGCCGGTGGTTTTTGTTTTTCACTGCAAGTAATAATCATTTCGGTTTGTTGATTATATATCGAGTATCCAGGTGAAACGAGAAGTATTTTACCTTCCTTAAGCTAATGGAAATGGAATATAAATTGGAATCTTACTGGAACAGAAACATAGCATGAATTTTTTTCGGAAACTTAAGGGATCAAGATGATGAGAAAATCGATAACATGCATAACTTTGAGGTAGGTTAATCGGAATTCAACGGATATATCCGTAGATTCATCTTGAGGAAGTGCATCGCTGACCTTGTTTGACCTTTTGGATGACTAAGAGAATAGAATTTCCCAAAACTTTTGATTCATCATTACTTAATTCTTTCAATTAAAGTTGAAAGAATTAAACAAAGGTGTATTGTTACATTATGCAGATTTAGGCATTCATAATTATAAATTAACGAGAGTAAGCCCAGAATTAGTGATGGAATCAAAGATGAGCACTTATTTCTCTAAAATGTAATGTCATCCCCTCATTACTAAAGCAAAATATCTGCCATTCATTGTTTACGATGCAAAAAACCGAAATATGTCAAAATTTTCCAGATCTACATCAAATTTTGCAATATTGCATATCCCACTGCAAAAATTTTAGAGATGACATGAGGGATTTCGAAGACATTAAATTCTTACATCCTTGGCTGTGTAACATTTGGCTGTGAATGTGCTGCAAAGTGCTGTAAAGTACTATGTAACCTGAAAGTCTAAACGATCAAAGATCACATTTCAAAAGAAGCAAAACAAAATTTCACAACGATACATGAAAGATTATGGTGATTATCGGGACATATTCTGAGTTTAGACATCCAATACTATCAATATATACCTGTTGAATTCACGATATCTTGGAAATATTCAAAACAAATATCGATAAAAACTGAATAGAAAAGCAAGCAGTGCAGTGCTAGTGCCGGTTCTGATATTGTAGAATATGGTAGATGACATATCTTCTCTTGTTGACATATCTTCTCTTGTCCTCTCTTGTTGTTATTATACATGCATAATGAACAACGAAATGAGTGAGAAAACAAGAACAAAATAAATTTATCACAAGTTTTTACCAACTCTACAATAAATTAACAGTCTATAAAATGTTATCCACTTTTTTGATTTAGAATCACTAAATGTAAGACTCAAGTGACAAGTAACAGGATGTGAGATTCACGTTAGCAATTCAAGTTATTTAACGTAAGTGTAACATTGTTGGAAAACCGGCAAAAGCTATGATGAAAGGAAAACAAAACGAACTAATCCTATTGACAGTTCCTAATGGCTGCATGCTCAAATTTCAGTTTGCTATAAGCCTAAGCATACATTTACCTGTATATTTAATGAATTTAAATTTTGTACTCTAGCAGTACCTACTGTTTCATTATGCAGTGGTATTCTTATCTCTTACAGCTTCAATAATTATCACACTTATAACTATCATATATACAGTATCACTTCCGCATCTGCGACAATTTCAGATTCATTCACAGAAAGCAATGATTCATTGGATGATATGTGATTACTTTATAATCGTTCTAAAATGTCAGTCAAATTACCGTTTAGAATATTCTCTTCCATTTCAGCTATTTCTCCAGGGTGATTGTACTCGTCTTAAAAACTTTACTACCGGAATGTTCAGGGCAGGATCAGTATCTCTGTATATCATATGCTTGTATAACTTAGCAGGCTGAGTATCTAGTCTCACTCGGTAATGCTTTGGCTGAGGTTGAGGTCAATATCGGGACATTTTAAATTGCATGAATAGATATGAAAGAAAGGAATTGGTGCAAGAGATAAGTGGAAGAGAGAGAAAATAAACGAAGGAAAAGAAATAAAAAAATTGGACAGGAAGGGACGGATCATCCCATGGGCTCTCCGTTTACAAATATGTAAATAATGAAAGGCCTAAAGCAATCAAGCACTGGCTTATCTTAAAGCCTAGTTCGCAGAAAATGAAGGCTTGCTTATTTTTTCGGGAAAGCTAAATAATGTGGTATATTTGTGTGCTCATCGTGTGCTCTTGTCTGTCATCCGCTCCTCTGTCTACCAATCTAAAATCTAAGTCTGAAATTGAAAACATCTTTGATTCTACAAAATTGAAATGAGCCATCTCAGGCTCTGTTTGAAAATAAACCGACAGGAGAACAATTCGATTTATATTGGGTATCATCTTTGGTTATAATTTTAAGTAGCCTGGAAAAATTTTAAGTAGCCTTTTGTTATCATTTCTTCTTTTGTTTGATTGCTAAGTTTATGGCTAAGTTTATGAGATTTTGCATAGGCACACAATAACTTTATTTTCATCGTATAGAAATTGTGTTGAGTAGAAGGAAGAAATAAGTTAGAAATGATTTGCAGCAAATCAACTGACTACAAGAAATGATCATAATTGTCAACTTGGTTGCTGAATTAGAGCCAATGCATACAAAAGACGGAAAACGATGTAAACCCTTACAGTAATTGAATTTAATTGGACTGCAAACTGGAACTCTGCTTTGGCTATGTTCCCCCTTCTCACTTTACCCAATTAGATCTGGGTCATGTCCTGAATCACAAGATTGCTGTATAACTGTTGAAGTGATATTAGATGTACTAGATTGAAGTTGCAGAAGAATCCTTACAGTAGGAAGTGTAAAATACAAGGCTATGATACAGCAACAAATTTCCGGAATTTAAAATGATCAAATCAAAAATCAGTCATCTCAGATGTACATATTGTACGTCCACATATTATGTCTGTATGTTCGCATCTATCGTTACAAATAAAATTCCTATTAATTTAAAATCATAGCAGTTAAAAGTACTGGTGCAAAACGAAAATAAATTACTAAGATTAATAGACATTTCTATTAACGGCAAATGTGTACTGTATGCGTTAATGTATTATGTACTTTATAAACAGGTTTCCATAGAATGAAAGAGCCATGATGCACTTTCTCATGGGATATTGTGGGGAAAGAATTGAGGCAATGTGGGGGTACTTCGAGCTATCATCATCCCATACTTTTTTTGGGAGGGATGGTCAGTAATCATTCATCTGTTAGAATTTTTAGTTATATTTGAAGGGTCACTTGGCTTTATTCAATTAATGTATCTTTATAAATAGTTCTGTTGTATACTTTTAAATGTAATTAGACAATAAAATATCTATCTTTCTAGTATGTCTCGTGACATCTCAATCTTCTTTCATTAAATAGAAAGTTTAGATTTATAGCCAGGAATAAAAACGAAATAACGGATTCTTCTGCTGGGTTGAACATGCAGTGATTTTCTTATACAGTGCATTTCAAATCAATGTTAAATTCAATTCAAATGCTCTTGAAAGATATCCTCTTTTGCTATTTTTCTCTACTTCTTTCTTTCTCTCTCTCTATTAAATCTCCTGCCCCGTCCGCTAAGTAATAATTTTACATCTGTCAAAAACATCCGATCTGTTACTTTCCCGTCAATCAATCATTGACGATTGACGAATGTCTTCTAATATCAGAAACTAACTTATTTAACAAGAAGTGATAGCGATTTGCTTCTTTTTTAATAAATAACATAACAGTCTCACAAATACTTTGAAATGTAAGCAAATGTATTTGTAAAGTGCAAATAGTTTGAAAGATAAATTGTATGCAAAATTATTTGTCACATATAATAAATGGTATAAGACATTCGGCGGTAAAGAACATTCACTTATTACGCCTTTGGAAATATATCATTAAATTTGTGTTAGTGTTTAGACAGTTTATACCCTTTATAAGACAATCTTTGTTTTTTTACTACTCCTATTCCACTACACTTAGTATGAAACGAAAACTTTCAAGTAATTTTGGATTTAAGCCTTTGAGCGGGTATCATGCATGTAACCATTGACATGCACGGATAAAATGTAAAACGTTATTTCTTGATTTTGTCGAGGGGTAAAATAATTACCTGTCACAATAGTAGTGCCAACATGATAGTTTGAAAGTAAAATTAATTTTAGGGCAAATAAGTCAAAATTTTTTGACCCAAGCACATACACACATACATACACACATATATACACACACATATCCACACACGCGCACATACACACACACACGAATCTTGTCATCTTACATATATTAGATCCGCCAGCACCGACAATCATTGGATCGATGTTAACATAGCGAGGACTTTTCAAACTACAACAAAGTAATTTGGAATAAAACGGCGAAATGAAAGCGAAATATTCGTCGAGAATGAACTTTTCGTTCTCTACCTGCAGTATTGCGCCTAACTTTGTCTCTTCCCATATCACGATCTATCATCTTTCCAGTATCTTTTTCACCACTCAATGAACAAATAAAACAACAAACTTCCCCACACCAAAACCATCCTACCCTTTTTTTAACTTCTTCAATAATAACAAGATGATTCAATTTACAAAAAAAATATTTGCAGAAACGATTTCGAGAAAAGTGCTTGTTAATCGAAGCCAATATTACTACCAGAGATAACTCCCTGAAGATTTCCGGATATAGAAATAATCAAACCCATGTTACACAACTGATTCTACCGACAGTTGACAGCCTAATCAGTATGTCTCACTGCTCATTAGATCTTTTTTTAAGCACAGTTTTATGATTTGCAGTAGATACAGTTGTTTTAAACGATTAGGAAGTGTTATTGATAAATAGTGAAATGGAAATGTCAAAGTGCTGTTTGTTGGTGGAAATATTAAAATCCAAAAATAGCTGTGAGAAATAAGAAAAGAGAGGATTTCACTAAAAGAACTCATCAGGTCTGACAGATCAATACCCTAAGAAGGGATGTATTGAACTTCAATTAATCGAAAGTTTGAAAAAAAAGAAATTGAAGCGATCAGAATTGTGTATTATTTACCATAAATTATTCTTTAGATAGTTTCAGTTTCGAAAAAAACTTTGGTAACATTTCTCACAGCCATTTTTTGTTCTCAAGAATCACTTAGCACTTGATATATATATATATATATAGATATATAGATATATAGAAAATAGTATTGAAAATGCGATGAGGAAAGAATTGAATATTATAATACCCAAAAAATTAGATAAATGAGGAAAAAATAATTTCAATATTTGCAAAGAAATCATGAAAATTTATCACCCTGCTGGAAAATGTCGGAACGGACTCCTTAAATAGCTGGATTGTTAATATTTCATAGGAGCTATCAGTGTCAGCTACTGAGAAACTAAATATTACTTTTGGAAATAAAATAAAATTTACGAGCAATACGAACACTAATTAACTCTATTGGAACAGATTGCATCAATTCGAAAACGAAAGGTTTCTATACGAAGATATTAAAGCGTGAGTTTGAATTAATAGTGCCATATATATATATATATATATATATATATATATATATATATATATATATATATATATATATATATATATATATA